AAAAAAAAGATAGATTTCCTTTAAAAATATTCGGTTTTTCGGAATTTTTAAAGTTCGGTTCGGTTCGGTTCCGAAAAAATTCGGTTCTCTAAAAATGGTACCGTTCGGGAATTAAAAACGGTTTCGGGTCGGGAAAAATACCGTTTTTCGGTTCGGTTCGGTCCGGTTCCGAAGAACCGAACCGAAACGCCCAGTCCTATTATGAACCATGTAAATTGATTAGTGATCGGAAGTTCGATCTTGTAATTTTTTTCATGTTTGGGCAGTTTGAAGTGGAAAGGAGGGAAAGTGATACTCGAATCGATATGTGTTGCTCGCCGAGGCCAGGGCTGCTTCTTTCAACTGTTAACACATTGGAAACCCTAGGCTTGGAGATCCAACGATGCGTTATAAGTTGCTTCAGCGATTTCTCCATGCACGCTTCTTGTTCCGAGGTACGTGTGTTACACGAATAGCGATTATGGGTCTACGTGTATATGTGTATACGTATAGATTTTAGTTTTATCTTATAGCATATATTCGACACGCATGCATATAGGCCGCTGAGCAGAGAGATTTGATACGGTCGGAGGATATAAAACAAGCATTATTCAGGAACGCTGGGTACGGAGGAAGATGCTTGTAGGAGCACAAGTTCATAATGAAACCAATAAAAGGAAATGATTGGTTGGTTGAAATCATAATCTCTTTTTATTTATCTTTTGCTTGTTTTAATATTGATATCTATAAATAGTTATGATACAATTAGCAATCAATGAACAGTCTATGCGCTTAAAAACAATATAAATGTCGAAACCATTTCCATATGCAAAAAAAAAAAGCTTACCGAATGATAAGAGTCGTTAAACAAGAATTAGGGTTGTGAATGATAGTGACTCGTCGCCTCTAATCCATTGGGTCACATCGGGCAGTGTTTAATCATGACACTTTTAAATATTAATCATAAGAAGCGACAAATTATAATGTTTTAATAATTTTTTTAAAAAAAAAATCAGTGCGGCCCAAGTGAGGCCCAAATAGTAAAAAAAATATACGCGGACGAGATCTGTTCAAAGACCAACGATTCGAGAAGCGGCAGAAGATAACGGCGGCAACAACGTCGTTATTAACGGGTCCGTGACGGCGAAATGTCGAGCGAATTTGCAGCAGGAACGGGACCCTCTGACTCATTCAGTGTATACTGGCCACCTCGTTCACAATAGTCAACTCGATGTGAGGAAATACACGGCACCATATACACACACACACACGTATATGCGTTGTACCAAATACTGTTTATTCGCACGTAAATTGATAAAAAAATCGAAGTTGTTATGGCGGTGACAACGATTTCCGACCAGTAGTTACGTACGAACGACGGCAAAATGTCACATGATTGTCTGGGCCCCATATTATAATATAAAATGGACCCAATAGGCCCAATGGGCTTATGGCCTATAAAGTCCAGTGTTTTGGGTCAAACTTCAACACGGGCTTTTTCGATACAAGCTTATTATAGGTCTGGTCTGGATACAAGGAAAATACGTCGACACGTGGCCTTTTTTAAAAAGTAAATTGAGCTTACTAACCGATGTAAAAATACATGCTTAGACGTTAATATTCGCACCACAAGATTCAGAAGACTAATTGATAGATATGGGCAATAATCAGTGCTTATATATTACAACAGAGATTTTTTTTTTGTATAAAAAAACCCACTAGGGACAGTCCAAAAATGGAAAAGCTCCCACTTGGACAGTAAAAGAAACAGCCTATGGTTGTGGAAGTAGGAAGCCCAGAGATTTGAGTGGCAGCTCCTACGGTTATTATGATGTTTGGGAAGTGAATGAAGATCCAGAGGCAATGGAACATGAAGGATCAAGTTGCAACTCAAAAAGACCTAACCAACAAAATTCCCACTCACATCTCCAACTTGCAAACCAACACACACATGTAAAAAGCTGTTTATATATACAAATTATATATATATATATATATATATTGTAGCCTAGACTTATAACGTCATCAAGATTATCATACAGATGGTATAACATGGATGATAGAAACTCAACTTTAATAATTCAATCAGTGAAATATCGATATAAAACATCTGTCACGTTTCGAATTCGACATTTAAATTGGTGAGAAAAACGTAATTTTAATTACATGGTTTATTTTTTATTTGGGATTAATATGGGCATTGGTCCAGTATACCCGATTATAAAAAAAAACTATGGATCATACACATATGGAAGTGTATGATATATATATATATATGGACCGCAAAATTGTGACTAACCCTATAATGAGTACGCATCTAACAGGATAAAGTGAAAGATAACATACTTTGTCGGCATCAAATGTTAGATATTTTAAAATCTTGAATACATGCCATTGAGAACGATGAACACAAAAGTTTTGTTTTTGCCTATTTTACTTGAAAATTTTTCTGAGTTTCCCTGTTAAAAATGTCTTTTACTTGAAAACTTTACGGACAAAAGTTTTGTTTGGGCAGAAGAATATTTTTTTATAAGAAAAAACAGGTGGATTAATCAAAAGAGAAGTCGTTAATTAGCACTAAAGACTCCAAATCTTCCCATTGGATGAACAAAATTTTAAAATTGATATAATATAATCTATCATTATTCCCTTAATTAATTAAATTAAATTATCCTTGGTATTATTTATAGAGCATTCTTTGGCAGTTAATGGAGGCATGATTCCGTATATTAGGATCTCTTTGGCTGATCTGTTTGACTAAATTTCATAATTCAATTAATGACCCAAAAAAGCCAAATTAAAAAATGGCTAATCAAACATATATATATATATATATATTAAATAATAGCAAAGTTTGGTACTGTTTTTTAAAAGTTAACATATACCTAACATGTTACTCAGATTTCCACTATAATATAAAAATGCTAATCTTTTCATATATATTTTTTAAGATTATAGCTATATGATTTTTTGTTAGATTGGTCACATATTTATATAACTTTTGTGATTGAGAATGTCAATGCACCAATTAGCATGCAACAGAAAAGGTCTAGTTGATATTTAGCACTACAAGATTTTTTTTTTACCATTAGATAGTCAATGTAATTTTGTCATCTTTTCTTCTAAGGATATATATATATATTCAATCCATAAGTCATAAGCTCTTTGAATTATAATCCTTGATTGGATAGTTTTTTGAAGGCATTATTATCCAATATTTTGTTTTCTTCATCTCTATAATCAATGTCTTGAACAATTTAAAAGTAATAATCAATCACTTCTAGTTGTTTTCGCTGTTTCTAATTAAGTATATATCTACCCGATATCTTAGAAATAACAGTAGAAAATCGACAATATTTTTTTTACCCCGCGTTATTATTTAACAGTAAATTCATGAAAAATATCATATTGGAGTATCAATCAATCAATGTTAGTGAAATATGTGGATTCTAGTTACTTCTTCCTCCTGTTTATTACATTTAATGATGTGTATAGTATATTAATATAAACAATGATGATGCATATTGAAGACAATAAATGAAAAGACAATTTTACCACAAAAAAAGAAAAGAAATGAAAAGACAAAAAAAGACAAGTATGATAAATGATGACGTAAGAGAAGTGGAGGGGATAAGAGCACCGAGAGGGCACTAAGTGCTTCCCAAATCCCCCATGTGCTCCCCTCTCTCTCTCTTTATCGCTTATCATCCGTACATTTTACATTATACTCCCCTTTTCAGATTTTTTTAAATAAAAAATATTCCTAATTGCTTACCTATTTTTAAATCGATTCGAGAAAGTACAACAAAACTCTGGTTTCGAATCCATTAGTAGGTGATCGAATGGCGAAAAATGTGTTGCTCTTTGTGTTTTAGTCGCTAGTTCGAAACCAGCTATTGAAGAGGGAGGGGGTATTTATCTGCTGAGAGGGTGTTGCTTCTGGGCCTCTGTCGCAAGTTTTTTAAAGGCTGCTTCTGGATCTAGGGTGGATGTAATCGAGACGAAAGTACGGAGAACTATCCTGGTTAACAAAAAAAAACCTCGAGCTTTTTTCTTTTTGTCACAAATTTCTCGAGCTTTCTCATCTCCCAAACACATTCTTTTTATTCTAAAAAAGCTTGCACAAGTAATCATTTACATCTAACCCTGATAAAATGGTCATCTAATATATATATATATATATATATATATATACTCGTCCATTTTATGATGACGTGTACAAGAACCTGGAACCCTTGGGAAGGGTATTGATAAATATGAAAATAATTATTTGTTGTTCGTCTAAACAAGAATTAAGAATATTCGTAGTATATTGAAATCCATGTATTGTTATGAACAATACTAAACTCCCTAGTCATGTATCATTGTGAGAATAATGATATACCAAGACTCGTATGATGTGTGATTGATGATCATATAGATGATCATAGGTATTGGATACGATCACAATCATAGGTATTCGTTGGAGAATGGAATACTGGATTGACCCGCATGAGATTGTCACATGGACTAGCGTCATGACTTGAATCTCATATGGTGGTTCCATGATTGGATCCTAAGACCTGAGATATCTACGGAATCCAACATGAGGAGTTGCGTGCTTTGAATACGTCAAACGTCCTGCATAACAGGAGGACTATAAAGGCGTGTATCAGGTACGAAACGAATCAAGTGCTGGATTGTAGATAGTCAAGACGGGATTTGTACCTCCACTATAGACGAACGTCGTATATTTCAGACAGTCGAACTCAGTGAACGAGAAAGCAGTCGAATCAGATAAGGTGGCTTGTCCATGCCTTATGTTCGACGTATGATATCGCGATACAAAAAGATCATCAACCGGAATCATCACTGGCATTCGTAAGATCACAAACAAACTCTATTCGAGATAGGTAGTCATAGTGTCTTGCTAGAGACCGCCTATGACTTGTATATCCGGAATAGAGGTTTCAGGTTATACTACTACGAAAAAAAATGGGTTGCTGTCATCAGATATTAAAAATAATTATATATGATTGTTTATTTTAAAAGTTATATGACATGTGTAAAGGGGCATTCAACATATGCCCATAATTCACAATCAATACAGAAAAATGGAATAATTATAACCACTAATCGCGTAATAAAGAATCAAATCGAGGGATTTGGGAAATCTAATTCGTGGAATGAAGGATTAATTAATATTATAAAATTGTAAACAGTGAAATTAGGCCATGAAATTGATTGTTCACTCGGAGGGGGGCCGAGTGGACGGACGTGTCGGACCACTACTCGTCTTGCTGGTGACGTCAACTTTTCATTGGAAAAGTTGGTACCAAAATTCTAACGCTTTGGTAATTAGAGGGTCCCAATTCGCATTTATTCTTTTTTTTTTCTCGTTTTTCTTATTTGTTTTTATTTTACATTTATTGCGTATTATTATTATAAAAAAAAGTTCAGAGATAAAATAGCGCCAAAACAAACCATTTATATATCGTGATTATGAATTAACATTCCGATGTAGTACATTCCTTTCCTATTATCCCCACCTTAATTATATTTAGACGACCCATTATATATATAATTAATTTCCATTTCAAATGGAGAGACCAATTCGGCAATCATTTAGTTTGTAATAATTGGAATTAGTTTGCAGTCGATGCGCACAAAATTGAAATTTGATTGTAAGGTAGGGCTTTCCAATAAGACTAACAAATGTGGCACCTTATATTGTACCTAATTAGGTTAATTAGCTATTTGCTTAGTGTGACATGAAAGCATGGAACACTTTCT